CGTCCCATCCCCCCCATGTCCCCCTCCCCCCCTTCCCGTTTAATTATTCAATTCCACTCCAATGATGTCTGACCGCCGCGTCCCAATTAAGTAATCCGTGAAAAATCAACCTGAATCTCATTTACCGCGACCTTCACAGAAGACAAATATAATTAGACCGCTACAAAGAAGAGACGGAGAGGAGGCTGCGGACCGGGAGCGACGCCGAGAGCGCGGAATACGCAAAAGGGCCCGAAATGGTTCTCAGAACTAGACATGTGCGCAACAAAATAATACGTTTCCAGGCGGAACAAATGAAAACGAAAAACGTTTTTATTCGTTTCGTCAAAGGAAACTCATTTTAATGTTTTTTTCGGATTCGGAGGCAACGAGCCTCTAAATCCGAAACAGCACAAAGAGCGGCGCGTTCTGCACATGCGCACCGCCATTTTGGAGTAGATCTTGGTATACACCCAGATGGCGGCGCCCGCGTGTTCGAGCGCCCCGCTATCTTGGTGTCTACCAAGATCTACTCCAAAATGCAGAACGCGCCAGTGGCCGACCTGGCCACTGCTCGTTCGGCGTGTCACCGTCATGTGACGCCATACGCTCCGCCTCCAAGATGGCGTCAGGCATGCACAGAACACGCTGGTGGCCAATATGGAAATCGCGACAGTGGCCGACCTGGCCACTGCTCGTTCGGCGTGTGACGTCACCGTCATGTGACGCCATATGCTCCGCCTCCAAGTCGGCGTCGGGCATGCGCAGAACACTCTGGCGGCCAATATGGAAATCGCGACAGTGGCCGACCTGGCCACTGCTCGTTCGGCGTGTGACGTCACCGTCATGTGACGCCATACGCTCCGCCTCCAAGATGGCGTCGGGCATGCGCAGAACACGCTGGTGGCCAATATGGCCGCCGGCGTGTTCTGAAAACGAATGTATGTATGCCCGAATATCTTTTTAGTATATTTGGGCATATATTAAATTTGTTATTTTCGGGTTCGGACCCGCATGTTCGAGCGTCGCCATTTTGGTGTATACCTAGATCTACTCCAAAATGGCGGCGTGCATGTGCAGAACGCGCCGGTGGCCGATCTGGCCACTGCTCGTTGGGTGTGTGACGTCACCGTCATGTGATGTCACACGCTCCGCCTCCAAGATGGCGGTTGGGCATGCTCAGAACACGCTGCTGGCCAATATGGCTGCCGGCGTGTTCTGGAAACGAATGTATGTATGCCGAATATCCGGGCATATATTAAATTCGTTATTTCGGGTTCGGAAGAACCGCCCAATCCACTGATTTTCGTTGATTTGCAGGTTCGTCCGAATCCGAATGCACATGCCTACTCTATGCTCTAGTCCAAAAACAGGTAACACCCGTGTGATTATATACTGTATGTACACAGGAGCTAGACATGTGCAATTCGTTTCGTCCCGAATCATAATTCGGACGACTTTTCCGAAATTCGGGCACATCCGAATTTCCGAATCCCAATGCATCCGAATGTGTGCGAATTTCCGTTTCCTAATTTACGATCCCGCCTCAATTCCCTTCAAAAACTAAACTGAATGGGACATGTGACTTTTCTGCCCAATCAGATGTGTTTTTTGGTTTAATGCCTCCGAATGGGTCTGAAAACAAATTTTCGTTACGGCAACATGGGAGCCATATGCATATAATACTAAAGCTGAGGCTCCCAGACCCCAATGGCATTCGGCATCCGAACTTCCGAATTGTACTGGGGATCTCTGGAATGCCATTCGGGTTGAGTAACAGGGGCGTCCCAAGGCCGGGTGTCACCCAGAGCAGAGAAGGGGTGACACCCTGCTGTGACGTCATCGCGCATGCGTGGTCATCTTATTGACGCCTGCCGGCGGCCATCTTGCTGAGAGAGGAGGGGACGTTCGCCCGCCGGGTCCCCTCCTCTCTCCTGACACTGTCGGGCTCTCAGTCCATGACCGCGTGCCCGATTTTTCATAGAGTCATTATTCACCAGTCATTTCTGGTGTCATTCCTCCAATGGTGTCACCCAGGTGCGGGCCGCACCCCCCTTGTGATGCCACTGTTTAGTAATATACGTATATGGCTCCCTGACCCAAATGGCATTCGGGATCCGCATATCCCAATTGCTTTGGGGAGCTCCTGAGCTCCATTCGGCGGGAGCCTCAGCTTTAGTAATGCATGTATATGGCTCCCAGACCCGAGGACCAGTAGTGAATTTGAACCACTATGGACCACTAAGTGAACCAATCTGGGGGAGATTCGTCTGAACCTTGCATCAAAACCAGGCAACCAAGCTCCACACCTCGCCCCCGCCCCAACTGATGACCAGAATGGATTCTGAAAGGAGATTTGCCCCCCAAACGTCCACTGGTCTTTCATAGTTATAAAGAGCACCTGTCATCCCTTTACACCTGTAGAGCAAATAACATGTAATCTAGAGCAACGCAATATTGGGTTGGCCATCACTATATTGGTTCTGTAACATGACTGTTGACCAAAGGAGTAGCATCGCAGAATCGGGCCTTGGGGCGGCAGGGAGAGTAAATCCGGCTCTTCATACCGGCGATCGCTCACCTCTCGATCCTGTCACGGCTCTCTGCCGTGACAGGGGAGGGGCTGGATTCCCCCCTCACCGCTCCGATCCTTCAGCGCTGACTGGCGGAACGGACGGGTGAGGGGGCGGGTACAGCTGGCTCTGCCTCTAGATAGGCAGAGCCAGCTGTCACTCACGCAGCTGGGCAGATCCAGACATAATTGTCGGGATCCGCTTTAGCTGCGGCGTCTCAGTATATAGGGAGCTGTAGCTCGCGGTATACTGAGCTGCAGCTCCAACCCTCAATATTCCCCTCTTTACCGGAATTGTGGGGTACTTCTCCCCTGTGTATTCTTGAATTTGGAGTGGCTGTGCATGGCTCCGCCCCCACAGTCACATTTTTTAATTCACATATCTATTCACAGGATCTGTGTATGGGAAGACTAAAAGTCCCAACTTCCACCTTGCTATGGACTTGGGGCATGAGGAAAAGTTTGCGGGAGCCTGTCCTGCAGGCTGTTCCTCCAGCCCCGAGTCCATACCGAGTTATGGACCTTTGGTCTGCCTACCTACACTTGGTCCTACTTTTGGTCAGGAACATTCTGCGGGAGCCTGTCCTGCACGCTGTTCCTCCAGCCCCAAATCCATACCTAGGTGTTGACCTTTGGTCTGCCTACCTACACTAGGTCCTACTTTTGGTCAGGAACATTCTGCGGGAGCCTGTCCTGCAGGCTGTTCCTCCAGCCCCGAGTCCATACCGAGGTATGAACCTTTGGTCTTCCTACCTACTATTGGTCCTACTTTTGGTTAGGAACATTCTGCATGACAGACTCCTGCAGACTGTTCCTCCAGCCATAATCCATACTGAGGTATTGACCTTTGGTCCTTCTTTTGGTCAGGAACCATCTGCAGGAGCCTGTCCTGCAGACTGTTCCTCCTGCTCTGAGTCCGTACCGAGCTATGGACCTTTGATCTGCCTACCTACACTTGGTCCTACTTTTGGTCAGGAACCATCTGCAGGAGCCTGTCCTGCAGACTGTTCCTCCGGCCCTGAGTCCATACCAAGGTATGGGCCTTCCATTATGGAAAGTTACTCATGCAATGCAAAAAAAAATTCTTTAATGCACAATGTTTTCTTTTTGCATCATGGGTGCCTTTTTCTGCAAAGAGCGGAATATTCCTTTAAATACGTGGCAAGCGGCCCACACCCAAACACAGAGGTGGGAACGTAGCCTCATATCACCCCTGCCCGTACTGTGGACGGTACAAGAGAAAAGAATAGATCCGATGGCCGGCGGACACGCACAGGAAGGTCACCTTTACACTAACCTGAAACCATTTTCTGAGGCTCTTCATTAATGGTCCGGCTTTGGGATTTTCCGCCGAAGGAGGTGGTGAGGGCCAGCAGGATACGTGAATGTGGTTTGGATGCCCTTCTTGCTAGAGATGCCATCAGCGGCTATAATTAGTAGATTCGCTCATGAGGTGATTATCGGGGAAGAATTATGATTGCCCTTGCCGGGGTCAAGAAGGAATGTTTTTTTTCTTGACTTCGAGGAGAAACACGCAGATACTTAATTGTCTTTAGTCTTCTTCTGGATTGACAGCATTAGGAATAGAAGGAGAAGAACATTGTGACCTTTAGTTCCTTTAGGAAAACTCCGGCCCTCCAGCTGTCTTGACACTACAAATCCCATAACGCATCTGCCTCTGGGAGCCGTGCCTGTGGCTGTCGGTGTCTTGCAATGCCTCATGGGACTTGTAGTTGCACCACAGCTGTTGGGCCGGAGTTTGCCTACCCCTGCTTAAAAACCTGACTACAGTGGACATTTTTTTTAAAGGTCAAAAATAATGTAGTCCGGTACCTGTAAAGCACCAGGCCCCGCCTACTAGAGGCTGCCTGCAGAAATCAACCAGAGGGGCGGAGACCAGTCACCCTGCACAAGGAGAGAGAGTGCAGCAGTGACCGGCCTTTATTACAGGAGGGGGCGTAGGCCAGACCAGTCACCGTGCACAAGGAGAGAGAGCAACAGTGACCGGCCTTTATTACAGGAGGGAGCATAGGCCAGACCAGTCACCGCGCACAAGGAGAGAATGCAGCAGTGACTGGTCTTTATTACAGGAGGGGGGCGGAGACAAGACTAGTCACCCTGCACAAGGAGAGAATGCAGCAGTGACTGGTCTTTATTACAGGAGGGGGGCGGAGACAAGACCAGTCACCCTGCACACGGAGAGAATGCAGCAGTGACTGGTCTTTATTACAGGAGGGGGGCGGAGACAAGACCAGTCACCCTGCATAAGGAGAGAGCAGCAGTGAGAGGTCTTTATCGCAGGAAGTGAGGGAAATCCCGCCAGTGCCTAGAGTTCGTCTTATAGGAGAACCCTCTTAAAGTGATATTCTGAGGAAAAACAAACCTATGATGGTGAGCTCGATGACGGCCTCATCGTAGTGCCCGCCGGTGATGTCCTCCACGAAGCAGTGATAGGTGTCGGCATCCGCCAGAGCGACGTTACGCAGGAGAAGCGTCAGTTCTGCAGACCCGGTCCCGTTGCGGAGCGATGTTCTGCCCGCGTACTCGGCGCTCTGCTGGTCCTTCTCCTCCTTTCCGTTCTTCATCAGGAACACAGTGGAGTGAAACAAGGAGCGGAACCAGTGCACCTTGAGGCCCGTGGGCCCGAACGGAGGGGAGAGACTGCATGGCAGCGTTGCGTCCGATCCCACTTCCACCACCTGCCTGGAGTCTGCCGAATGGACCCGGAATTCACCTGCAGGAGGGAGAAGGAAACAACACTACTGTGAATAACGGTGGGGGACTATCACTCTAAGGTGAGGGCAGTGTACCTCAAGTTCCTCCGACTCTTAAATATCAATCATTAAATATCATTGTCTGGGGGGGACATTACATATTTACACGGGAGGGGGATAGAGGACGACCCCTCGAAAATTCTAAAGCTGCCTAAACATGATTCACTATAACAGTCCAACTTCCTTCAGAATGATCGGCAACTGTGTGATGCAAAACATAATTGAGGGGGTAAAAATTGTACTCCCCTCCCCCCACCAGTGGTATATACCAACGCCAAAACCCTCACACCAAAAGGAAGGCCCAATACCCAGGTGAAGGACACCGCCCCCCCAATATAATTAGACAACATTGATAAGGGCGACCCACAAAAACCCGTCTGTGCTCCGGCTGTGTGATAGTTGTCCTCCTATAAGCTGCAGAACAACTGTCCACCGGGAGGAAGGAAGGAAAAGGAGGAAGAAGGGAAAGATGGAAGAAAGAGAGGAAGGAAGGTTTGAAGAGAGAAAAGACGGAAGAAAAGAAAGGCGTGAGGAAGGAAGGAAAAGGGGGAAAGAAGGGAAGAATGGAAGAAAGGGAGGAAGGAAGAGAGGTTGGAAGAGAGGAAAGAAGGAAGAAAATAATGGGAGGAGAAAGGAAGAAACGAAAGAAGGAAGACAAAGGGGGAAGAATGAAAGGATGGAAAGAAGTAAGAGAGGAAGGAAAGGAAGAAGAAGGTAAGCAATGAAGAAATATAGGGAGGGAGGAAGCAAGGAAAGAAGGGATGAAGACAGGGAGAAAGGCCGGAGAAGGAGATAGAAGGAAGGATGGAATAGCAGCAGTGGGAAGTCCTGTGGGGTCAGGGATCGGTCCGGAGTCTTCCAGTGACTGACAATGTCACTTCCTGTGGGTGAATATTAATGATATTTTGCTCGGGGATTTGTTCCGCTCCCACACTGAGCCTTTCAGCTCTCCAGCCGCCCCCCCGCAGTCATTGTTCTCCGCTCCCCGCCGCGTCCGCAGGGGGTTAGTCGGAGGAGACGCACGCTCCACCAATTAATTGGACATCATTGTCAGAATTCCCTTCTCACGGATGTTTTTTGTATATTGAACAGGATTCAGATTCCGCCAAACGCGATATAATTATAGAAATCTCTTTCTAACGTTTTAGCGGAGATTTAAAGTGGACCTATAATTTCCCGTCACACTGAGCGCTAATCAGGAGGTCACCAACTCACATTACTCACATCGTGTCACTTACAGCCCAGACAAAGGTCACATGGCCTCTGGCTGGCAGGTGCACTGTGGGCGTTTGACATCATTAGAGATTGCAGAGAGTTAATTGTTTGATCAGTAAGATTAGAGGATAAGTGCAACGCAATGCTACTCCAATGTACATATATAATTACAGATTCTATCTATAAAAGAGGCTCCTCAAATATTAACTCACATCGATAAGAAGATGTCTTATATTTAGCTGATCTTTTTTACATATGTCTACAAAAAAGTAAAAAGCGACAGGTCCTCTTTACACGGCGCTGGCACTGATTTATAAGTCATCCCTTTAAAGGGCAACTGAAGCCAACATTTCCTTTCTTTGGAGTGGAGAGGGATTAGAACCCCTGTCAGGGGTGTGGAGGGATTTCCTCTCACTTCCTGCTGTGGCTATTGGACAGGAAGTGAAGGGAAATCTTCCCCATGGTAAACTATGGTGCCCAAGACTTGTCCATAGGTGACACTTTTAAAGCTCGTACCAGGAATATCGGCCCGGGAAATATTGTTGTCACTCTGGAGCACGTGGTGACATCCAGCATGCGCGGTGCCATCAACGTTCTCACACATGGGGCACCCGACGCGTCTTTGTGTTACTATGTGCGGTTTTATTTTGTTTAACTTTATGTTTTAATGCTTTTTTAGGAAAGAAAGAAAAAACGGTGAGAAAAGGAAGGAAGGAAAAGGAAGTAAGGAAGAAGGGAAGGAAAAGATAGATGGAGAAAAAAAGAGGAGAGGAAGGTAGAGAGGAAGGAAGGAAAGAAGGAAAAGGAGGTAGACTATGGAGAAGAAAAAAAAGAAGAGAGGGAGGAAGGAATGGCGAGAGGAGGAAGAAAGGAAGAAGGAGAGGAAGGAAGGGAGTAGGGAAGGAAGGATGGAAGGGAAGGAGGTGGGAAGGGAAGAAGGAAGAGAAAGAGGAAAGAAGAAAAAAGGAAGGAAGGGAGTAGGGAAGGAAGGATGGAACAGAAGGAGGAAGGTAGGAAGAAAAGAAAGAGAAAGGAAGTGAAAAAGGTAGAACGGGAGTAGGGGAGGGAGGAAGGAAGAGAAGGATGAAGTAAGGGAGAGCTAGAGGAAGAAAGGAACAAGGAGAGGAAGAGAGTAGGGAAGGAAGAGAAGGAGGAAGGTAGGAAGGAAAGAAAGAAAGAATGAAAGAAAGGGAGAGGTAGGGGAAGAAAGGAAGAAGGAGAGGAAAGAAGGAAGCAAGGAAGCAAGCAAGAAAGGAAGAGGGAAGGAAGGGAACTTTAGCTCTATGACATAGGGGGGCTCACAAGCCCTATGTGATAGAATTGTAGTGGTGACAGGTACTCTTTAGGGTGACATTTGGGGTCTAGTAGCCCTCTAATGTCACCTTTGCGGCCCATTGAAGCGGATCAGTACAGATTGTGTCTCTGTAGCCGGGGAATGACAGCTCAGAAACTGGAAGTGATGAAATCAGCGTGACTTTCGGGTTCATTAAATCTGGAGGACATCAGCACACACATGTTCACTGGTCTCTTATCTCTCTCTCCGCCAAGCAAGGTGGGAGGGGGTGTTGGATGGGTGACGGGTGGGATAGGGGGTGCTCCCATGTCAGAGCCCCTGGAAGTGATCAGGCAGATTCACAGCCCCTCAAATCACTTCCAGTGTAAAGCCGACAGATAACACTGATATCGAGCCCGAAGCCCATCAACACTGGTCCTTGAGGAGAACCGTGCTGTTAGAAGTAAGGCCGAGGTTGGTCACATGACTCGCGTCCATATAGAAAACATATGTCAGCAGCCATTAGATAAAACGTGGCATCGGAATACCAGCTGACAAGGAAACATTTTATATACTTAAAGGAGAACCATGAGGGGGGTGCTTTTCACTCACCTCATAGTTCTAGCCGACCTGTGACAATGAGACTGTCACAGGTCGGCTCAGTAGATCGGGAGGTGAGCGAACACATACCGGCGTTCGCTCACCTCTCGATCCTGTCACGGCTCTCTGCCGTGACAGGGAAGGGGCTGGATTCCCC